CTCTTTTGACAATTTGGGGCTTTTATCTTTACAGTTTAAGATATTCATGTTCAAACACTGCCACAGATTTCAAAAACATGGATGGAGCATTCTCTGGAGGATTGGATATGAAGCTAAGATTGCAAAAAAACCAAAGTCTAAATTCTAAACGATTTTCGATTCGATTAAAACAAATTAGATTCTGAGATTGTGTTTGTAGATGAATGACCCTGGTATTAGAAAGACAAACTACATTGTGTCAGAGGACATCAAGTCTCTGCTTTAACAACATGACAGAAAGTTTCTTTAAAAACAAACAACAACAAAAACACTTCTGAATGAACTGTAAGCAACATACAACACAACTACAAGCTGTCAAATCTGGAGGTGTAGTGTGACAGATATGACTGTAGCATGATGACATTGAGCTTCAGCACCTGGAGGTAACTGGTGTAAACTGGTGCAAACTGGTGCAAACTGGTGCCATGTCACAAACCTGAACAGAACCGAAGTGACCGAGCTCGAGTTTCCCGGTTTTTGTAGAAAGGATGCATTTGTTCAGAGTTTGGACGCAAACCTGACGCAAACCCCGCCCTGTAGCCAGCGCTCCCTCTGCGGAAAGGTCAAAGTAACTTACTTTCTTTTTAGTCTTGTGCTGAGCTCCGTGCACGTTGGAGAGCGTCTCCGTGCCCAGGATCGCGCGAACAGAAGCGGGCCACTGCGCGGACACCAGCCTGTGCTCCCCCAGGAGGATCTGCTTGACGTTATCCGCGCCAGTCACGCGCACCGTGCGGTTCCCGAAGAGGTGTGTGCGGTAGATGTAACCGTACTTCTCCCGCTTCATCCGAAGAAATGTTTTCCTCTGTGAACATGTGGCCACACAAACAAACTGTCATGTGTGGGTGGTTTTACCCTCACGCACATTAAATATACACGTACACGTTTATGACAGTGGGTTCGTTTTAATTCCACACTTCCCAGAAGCTCCGGGAAACCCAAACTTTCACGTTTAAACTGAATATAATATTTCATCCTGATGATGACCAGGAGCAGCGTTTACCTGGAGGAGGAGTTGCAGCGTCTCTCCAATGAAAGGCAAGCCCATGGATCCGGGGGGCAGCGGGAAAGGGCAAGTCGGGTCTCTGCATCGGAGCGTGTAAATCTCCCACAGCTTCACGGCCAACAGGAAGAGCAGAATGGGAAGCGCCACGGTGCACAAGAACGTGGTCAACAGCGCATTCACGACCATGTTGCAGCGTCTCGTGGGCCCGGTGAAGATTTCAGGTGGAGCTCAGTCTGCGTCTGGGACTCCGGTGTGCCAAGCCGCAGTTTTTATAGGCTGGCAGCCCGTGGGCACCTTCTCCTCCCTCCGATAAATTAGTTCACGCAAAGTTCATCTTTAATTGTGGGTGTTGCTCGGCCCCGCCTCCGACCTGTGCTGGCCGACTCGCCTCACCATTTGTTCCAGAGGCCACAGCTTTAGTCCCTACCTCCTGTTGCACGCACACAATCCACGGCGGATTTCACTGAGAAAAGGTGATGATTCCCACCGAGACAATGGAAGTCCCGAGACGCCTTTGTTGGCAATAAGCAGCTACTTTACACACTCATTACCTTGGCTTAAGCCCCGCTTGTAGGAGCGCTAATCATGCGCCTTTCCAATTTTCAGAAAATGTAAAAGCGGCGCTTAATCCCTCTCCCCGTGGGTGCCGTGGGTGCCATTCATAGTTAAAAGTTGTTTTTCTTCTATAGCCTGTGGCCGCCGTGGCTTTCCCTCCTGCCTTAATTATAAATCAATACATGAATAAGGCAGCACGTGACTATCAGAGATGAAGGTGGAAGCTGCGCCGTGACGCGCGGCTTCTCTTTCTAATCTAGAAGACTTTAACCTGCCGTCAGTCTGTCCTGCCGTGTGTGTGTTATAAAATGATATCTCTCTGAGTGGGTTCAAACACGGGTCACACGCAGGGTTATTCCCAGGTTACGCTGCTGCACGCAAAGTAAACACCGAGCAGAGAACGTCCTCGTCAGCCGAGCCACTGCGTTTGGACTCTTTGTTTTTACGAGCTGCCATAACTTCACAAGGGGTGTGTGTGTGCGCGAGCGTGCGTGTGCGCGCGCAGCCTGACACAGACAGCTTGGCTGCTGTTTTTACAGCGAAGCATTACACGGGTGGATCTTTCTGTTCTGGCTGACCGTGTGCGCCCTGAGGTTCACCCCTGTGGAAGGTGCGGCAGCTATCACCATTACAGGACATATAATCGGATCTCCCGTCACGGCCTGCTAGAAAAAATACTTTCTTTAACTTTTGCACGGCTGTAAGCGCACCAGGTCAATTTCTAGGGTACAATTAAAGACATACTTGGGTTGTTTTTTCAGCCTTGTTGCAGTTTGAGGGGATTCAGACATAAGTGTAGCAGTGCAGTAAGACCAGTCCCTCAGTGTCTCTTCCTCTGTCTACAGATTCATAAAGGTGCAAAACTGATTTGTTCTACATTTCTTTACAAGTGAAGTGTGACTATACAAACCAGGTGACATCACCTTAGCTGCAGGTGGGGACAACAACAGGCCCTCCCTTTGTTTCTTTTGACAAACAGGACCCTTGACCTTTACAT